CCTGTAAAAACCTCTCATTATCCTTCACAGCTCTTGCGAGTTGTAATTCCAATTGCACTTTCACCTTCCTGTTCACTCCCCTGCATTCTCGAGCTATACGTTTATACCCCTCTCTAGTCATCTGTCCAAGTTTCCACTTTTTATAAGCTCCCTTTTTGTGCTTAAGTTGACCAAGGATTTCCCCAGTAATGTTACCCACCAGCTCTGTGATTCTGGGGGAACCAGAACATGGTCGCCTGTCAGCCTTGTGCTCTTGGGGAGTCAGGGAGTGACATTCATGGAAAACCATCCCCCTCCCTCAGGCCTCTGCTAGAATCAAAGACAAAGCAAAGAAAAGGCCAGGGAAGACACACCTAAACTGCTTCAGACAAGGGTGATACAATTAAGGAAACACCCCAGCCTCATTTGCATTAAAGATGGAACAGAGGGACATCTCATTAGCATACAGAATGGAGAGCAGCTCTTCCAAGGCAGGAACTGCACTGAACTATGGGACACCGAAAGCAGAGAAGCACTGCCTGATGGAAATCCCTGCTCCAGATGCTAATGAACCTAGGCCTGCTCACACCCAAATTAGTCATTATCAGACCAATTCTAGTAACGATCCTATTGACATCTAAAATACTGAAACTGCCAAGTTGCATTGTGAGCTCGTTCAAGGAACATCACCCATAACCAGGTGTGATCAGTCTCTATTGTCTCTCCTCTTTCTCTTTGAACTATCTCTATAAAACTCCTATCCTTGCCCCAAGAAAACTGTTCTGATACCTGGACTTAAACTGCATCAGTTCCATTGAGACTTCTTCATCTCCTGTCTGATCGTGCTGGGGGCTCTGTCCTGCTTTTCTCCTGCCCTCTGGACCCCCGGCTACCATCATCATCTGGGAACCCCGATCAGTGCAAGCTCCGTGGAGTGGTGAGGTCTCTCTCTTTCTCTCTCTCTCTCTTTCTCTCTCTCTCAACTATCTCTCTAAGCATAGCCTCCTGACCCTGCCCTGTGTAAACTGTTATATGGTTACCTAACGTTTGTAATCAGTTTCAATTTAGATTTAATATTGTAATTGTTAGATTTAATATTGTAACTTTTTGATATCTATTCACTACTCAGAAATAAATCACTTTCATTGTTAAGCTGGTTGCTTCTCTCTCTTTCTTTCTCTTTTGCTCACTCTTCCTTAAGGGGTGTTGTTTTGGCTTCCCCATTCGCTCTGCAACAACGCTTCTTGTACCCAAGCAAAAGATCCCTGTAGTGCCCAAAATCCTGTGGGGTTTGCTCATCGTGTGGTTTACCTGTGAATGACTGTGGTGTGAAAGTGGGGATAGGGGGTGCTGAACCTGGGGGCTTATGAGGATGGCAGCTTAAAGTGCTGTTTAATCCAGCCCACGGAGTCCAAAGGCACATGAGGGTGCAGTGTGGCATTGCTGTGAAACCCAGCCAGCTGAGTCCAGGGACATATGAGGGGGTCAGCTTGTGAGTGCTGAGTACCCAGTCCTCTCAGACGTGCTCTGATTAGTGGGTGTGAGTGTCTGTGTGTGTTGCTAAGGTGGGAAGAACCCCATCCTGAGGAACCTAGTTCCTGCAGGAGAGCTCCAGTGGGAGGGGGAATTGGCAGCAGGGAGAATTCAGCTCCATATGAGAGCCCAAGTAAGCACCAACAGCACACTGATAGAACTGTTAACCTTCCCCCAGTCCCATAAGGGTAACCCTGATAAATGAGCATACCCCAGAGTATTGGGCAAATCTGGTAACAGTAAGCCAATCCCGTCTCCTACCATATTTGCTTCTCTTGCTACGCATTGGAATGGTTTCTTTCTGTGCCTTCAATAAGGCTTCCTTAAAATACTGCCAACTCTCCTGGGCTCCGTTCCCCTTCATGTTAGCATCCCAGTGGATTCTGCCCATCAGGCCTCTGAGGGAATCAAAGTCTGCTATTTTGAAGTTCAAGGTGTGTATTTTACTACTCTTTCTTCCTTTGGTCAGGATCCTGAAATCTACCATCTCATGATCACTGCTTCCCAGGTTGTCACCCCCCTCTACTTCCCCTATTAGTTCCTCCTTATTTGTGAGCAGCAGGTCAAGTTGTGCATATCCCCTGGTTGGATCCTCCAGCACTTGTACCAAGAAGTTATCCCCAACATTCTTCAAAAACTTCCTGGATTGTCTGTGTACTGCCGTATTGGTCTCCCAACAGATGTCAGGGTGATTAAAGTCCCCCCATAAGAACCAAGGCCTGCAATCTGGAAACTTCTCTGTTGTCCAAAGAAAGCTGAAAAAGTGTTTTACTACGTAAGTCGTGGCTGCCATATGTCCCACGAGCAAGCAAGCAGGTAAGTATGGGGACTTTGGGACTGTAAGAGTGTGAACGAGGTTCTATATTGTGTGAAATCTGGCTAGCGGAAAGTAAGCCCTGACCGTTGTAGAATCTAACCGTGCCCCAATGAATTCAAGGGACTTTGGGGGCATGAAGAGTTTCTTCTTGGAGGGAGACACTATCTGTCCCCCTCACTAGCTAGAGAGCAAAACTGCTCAGGGACAAGAGAGAGAGAAACTCCACAAATTCCTTTGTCTCAGTCTGAAATTCTTACCTGCATTCCTATTGGCTGACTCCACCTGGCTTAGGTAGCGTGGACTATCCTGCAACTCCCAATTATATCTGAAGAGCATTAGCTATCCTCTGTATTAACTCTTGAAACTAATGATAGTTATCTGGAGGAAAGGAGGATGCTGATGACATACTCGTGTTTGCAGATGATGAGAAATCTCTTCAGACATTAGTATTGGATTGGTCAGCATGTCATCTAGCTCTAATTCTGAGCACCTATTCAATGAAGGATGAGATGATGAAACAGGGGAATCCTCTTGCATTGAATTAGATGGTTTCAAAGGCGAATATTGAGGATATGAGCTCCCACACAGCCAACCTGGTTGATCCAGCTGTTGCAGTGGTACCCAACGAGTTGAGTACCAGTGATTCCTTGGATGAAGTAAGGGAAGGTATTGCCTTGATGCCATTGGAACCCCTTTGATGGTCATGTCTTTGGAATGGAAGCAGCGGACCATGCATAACATCCTGATCCTCAGAGGAACCAGAATCCTGACCAAATGGCAATGCTGAAGGAGCCACCAGAACAGAATGTATTGTAGGAACATGGACAGAAGGGGGTGGGTCCAAGATGATGGATGGAACGCTTTATGGACACCACATGCTTGCCACAGAGAATAACTCATGACAGACGTTTTGGAACAATTTTTATAGTGGGGGCACTCAGAGCCATTCAACCAAACTGTAAACCCTGTATATAATGCAGAGCTCTTCAAGCCAGAAAGTGCACCCCCACCGGGCATCGTTAGTTCCAGCACCTTTGTCTTATGAGACAAGAGCACATCAGAGACTCCCCAGAATCTATGATACACAGTCTTCGGACGAAATGGGGGCCAGAAAGAGGATCAGTCTCTGGTCCAACAAGTCACGGGATACTTGTGGAGCTGGTGCAGAATGGGTCTGCTGGTCCAGAAATGGGACTGGCAGATCCAGTGAGCAATGTATCTTCTTTGTTGCACTTGTGGGTCTTGGAATGCAGTGCCTCTCTGATAAGGAACTCCTGGATGGTATGGTCTCTTTTTGACCCAGAGGAAGACTTTCTCCCATGCCTAGGCACGTTTCCATGACCTGATGTAGAGTTCACAGCACTGGTCCCAGCAGAGCTGGACTCAAGATGCATGGTAGAAAGTACAATCTCAGAAAGTTCAGGCCAGTGTATGGTTGTGGAAGAAATACAAAGGCAGCAACGCAGGGTGGGGGAGACAGCTCCACAGGAGCCAGAATGCACAGAGAGACAGCTGTGTCCTGCTCCTCTCACTGCTGCCTCTGCTCCCTGTGCACACCAGCTGCCGCCCACTAGTCCCCCTTACACTGTTGATTCTGATACAGGTGCCTGCATGTAACTGTGCACGTTAACTTTTGTGCAAAGGTATTTTAAGTTGTCCAAGGTAACAGAAGTCCAATTCAAACGGTTACATAAAGTTGTTTATGAAAGTTAGCAAAAGGAAAAGACAGATCAACTGATTCAAACTGCATTGGTTAGGTTAAAATACTTGTGATAAGGTCTGCAGTAACATTGGCTGTTGTTTTAGGGTCCCAGTGGAGAGGTAAATCACCCTATAGGGGAGTTCTGATTGGGCTGGGACTCCTACACTGTGCCAGGCTCAGCTGCTAGTCCTGGCTGGGCTGGGACAAATGTGACTTCCTCTTCCCCTGCAAAGGAGGGACTGATGTCAGGTCAGACTCACCCACAGAAACCTCCCCCAGCTGCAGGAAACTCTGCATATGCACCCTGCTTCCTGCTCTTATCGCTCCTCAACCACACGGGAAGGGGCCACTGTACTATGGAAGATGATCCCCCATCCATCCAACCCCTATGCATCCAGACCCGCCAATCTCTCTCCCAATAAGTCTCTCTCCCCTGCACTGAAACCTCCATCCAACCAAGCGCCATCTCCTGCATCCAGACCCCTTCCTGGAGACCCCATAACTCAAACCCCTATCTTGACAAGCCCTCTCTCCCTCACCTGGACCCCACACTGAGCCCCAATCACCTGCACCAGGACCCCCATCCCACTATGCCCCACTCCCCCAAAGCCTCTCTTGAGCTTCCCATACTCAGACCCCCACTGCTGAGTCCTAACAACTTTGCCCTGGACTCCCCTTCAGAGTCCCATTCCTCCTGCACCTGGAAATTCCTGACAAGCCCCTATTCGTCCATATCCTCCTCCCCACTTAAACCCTCCCACCAGACCACTCATACCCAATTGTGCCACAGAAAACCTCATCATGCCACATCTGGATCCCTCTACACTAAAACCCTCCACATTTGAATCCTTCTAGGCTGAGCCTGCATGCCCTACACCTGGATCGAAGATCAGGGTGGGCATGCATGTGAGATACTGTCCTTCTCACTAGCTAGCTTGATGAACCTTGTTTTGAAGGGTAGAGTTCCAGGATATTTCTGGGCTGGGCCAGGCCCATGTACAGGCAGTCCCCGGGTTACACGGATCCGACTTACATCGGATCCCTACTTACAAACGGGGGGAGGCAACCCCACACTAGCTGCTTCCCCCCAGCAGACCAGGGAGACGCAAAGCTAGCGCCCCTCCCAGCAGACCAGGGAGACTCGGAGCGGCTTTTCTCAGCAGACACCTCAGCTTGAGAATAAAGGACTGAGGGAAGTGAGGTGTGGGAGAATAAAACTGAGCTCTGGAGAAATGTTTGGCTAGAGTTTCCCCTACAATATGTACCAGTTCCGACTTGCATACAAATTCAACTTAAGAACAAACCTACAGTCCCTATCTTGTACGTAACCCGGGGACTGCCTGTATATCTGGTGCTGCTTCACTGCCAAATCCTTGTCTGGAAGGATGGGGGAAGGAGACAGCAGGGGCTACAGCATGGTCTCCCACCTTCTTGCAGCCAGTAGCCTGAGCTCTCCACTGGCATTCTGGAGCCTCCCTATTTATTTACTGACAAATAGAATATGCAGCATTTTGCAGAATTTTAAAATATTGTGCTCAGAATTTTTAATAGTTTGGCACAACATTCTCTCAGGACTAGTATATGAGGCTCCTGGTAATGTCACAGGTTGAATTAATGAGATGAAAGGTTCTAGAAATGAGAGGAAATAGTTATAGATTAAAATCAATGAAAAGTATTTTCATTGATTAACGGGATGAGATTGGCACACTTTTTTGGATGTAGTTTTTAGGGTCACTGAATGGTGTTGGTATGGCCACAGAAATAGTGATGCAGCTAAATCACTCAATCAATACAAAGCTGGTATCCTTTTACCAGATCTTGGAATAGTTGATAGAGAGCACATGTTATGAATTTCTCCAGTAGTGAAGCTGCAAATTAAAGTCAGCACCAGAAACAGAATCTACACCTTTTATATATTTGGTATTCTTTTCTGTTCCATTTGTGTATGTGAGTGTCTTATTTAGTCTTCAAGGAAACAGGACTAGACTTTAAACAACAACGTCAGATCAGCAAACCTAAATTCTTTTTTACCAAAAAAATATAGTTATTACCATATTTAGTATCAGGAGCGGCCCTAGGCAAAGTGCGCGATCGGCGCCCCCACCTCCAAAGCCCTCAACAGCCGTTTACCTTGTTGCTCTAGGCGACCGCCTAGGTCGTCTGTATTGACAGGCCGCTACTGTTTAGTATCCAAGACTGTCAAAACAGGATATTTTACCAACAAAAATTCTCTACAGCTTACAGAAAAAATGTGATGGTATTAAAATGGAAATTTTACATAACCTTCACATTTCAAATGTCTTAGCTATTTTTCCTTTTTTTGGCTATATTTACCCCCAAAGTATAAGAATTTTACAATTGTTCTTAAAATGAAAGTAAGCCAGTGGTAACTTGACAATACCACAGATCTCACGTATTTACTTAATGAAACAGTATGCAAGGGTTTCATAAACATATTATCCCTAATTAGGCCCAAGACAACCCATTTTCAACACAACAACTTCCCCCCCAAAAAAACCCTAAATGTAAAAATGTAAATCTCTACCACTTTTTACAGTTTTGAGTACAAATGATGTACTGGATAGTAACTGGCAAACTCACCAACTTTCAAATTGTGCTCGGTCCCATTCAAATTTATGGTCTGAATGTCTGAACAATGTCACTCCTGGGAGTAAAGGATTAAATTCTGAGTTTGGAGTACTGATTACAACCATGGATGGAGCCATAAAACCAAAGACCACTTCTGGAAACATTTCCAGTTCTGTTGCTTCCAGGTGCTCTATTCTGAAAAAGATAAGTCCTTAAAATCTTTCAGGGTCTTTTGACTGTCTCTACAATCAGTTAAACAAAAACTGTGTGTTCCTAATATTTTAGTCATGCAATTAAAATTACATCAGTGCTACAAACCTGAATATATATTAACCGTCTAAGGGGATTCTTTTCTATTTTCATTCTCTCTCCCTCTTTCACGTGTTTTCACCCTTCCATTCACACAAATTGCCCAAGGTTCCTAACACAATTAATTTCATACATAAAAAAAATCAGCCACATACATCCTTCTACTCTTTCATTTCAACTATTAAAGTAAAAACTTAAACAACAAATGGTCTATCAGCACCTTAAAGACTAACAAAACATGTGCTTTTGTGGGCACAACCCACTTCTTCAGATGACAGGAGTACTGGAAGTCCAGATCCAAGAATAAATAAGGGAAGGGGAGGGAGAAGAGAAAAAGAGACACTGAGTAGATAATCTACAGAGGGACAGCCAAGTTAGTCTGTAACAGGAAAAATGTAAAAACAACAAATAGTCTAGTAGCACCTTAAAGACTAAATAGTTACAAGAGGCTGATAAGAACCATTAGTTTGCACTTGGAAAGGAAGATGACCAACACCAGATTCTACACAGACAAGAACCATTAGCCCCTTCATTGTTTGGTTGGTTGATAATGTGCGAACCATCCAATAACTCGATTCATACCATTTCATAAGAATTAAACTTGTGAATAAAGTTAAGTTCCAACCCTTCTCTGTGTATTGAGCTTGTGGAATTGGTCTAAAACAAAACCGTAACTTGGAGATCCATTAATGAGTGTCCAGGAAGATTAAAATGTTCTCCAATAGGTTTTTATGTTGCCTTTGGCCAATATACATTACAGTGGGGCACTGCTGGCATAGATCACATTAGTGGATGTGCAGTTAAATGAGCCTCTGATTTGGTGGCTGATGTGGTTGGATCTAGTGATGGTATTGCTTATGTAGATGTGTGGGCAGAGTTGGCACAGGGGCTGATTGCAGGGGTGGGTTCTTGGATGATTATGATGGAGATGTGTTGTGTGGTTACTGGAAAGAATTTGTTTCAGCTTAGGGGGTTGTCTATAAGCGAGAATTGGCCTTTCCCCCCAAGGCCTCTGAGAGTGAGGTGTCATTTTCCAGGATAGGTTGTAGATTGTTGATAATATGTTGGAGGGGTTTAAGTTGTAGACGGTAGGTGATGACAAGTGGAATTCTGTTGTTAAATATATAGAATTAAATAAGCTTGATCAGACTAAAGGCTTTAAATTCTAATTTCAAACTTCCTGACATCAGTGAGTGTTGCTATATTACACATTACAATGCAAAAGAAGAACAGAATGAAACACGGAATTCTGCACTATTTATGTTTACATTCACAACGTCTTCAACAAGGAAAATTGAAGTATGTCAGCTTAATACTCACAATTCAATGCATGTTACCAAGTCAAAACCAAGCATGCAAGGGTCTTTATGTGCAACTGAGCCATGATGCAGACTCACAGTTAGAGATCTTTCACTTGGTTGCAAATAATCACCAGGAAGAGGAGACAACCTATGCCTAGTAAAACATTAAAATTAAACATGTGTTTGCCTAAAAACTCAATATTCTTACAAAGACTATTAGCTTCGCGGTGAGCAAATGTGCCCATATGCTATGAAGTTGTACTAAGAGGAGGAAAATGTCAGATTGCTATAAATTATTAGCTTAAGAGGTGTTAAATAATGATGAATATTATTAGCAATATTCCAGACTAATCCCAAAAAATATCAGACATTTAGGTTACCAAAATATAGTCAGTAAATAGCAGATGTTTGATCGTGCAGATGGAAATTTATTAGAAAGTCTGGAAATATCATGCTAAAAATAAGGGTGTCTTAATTTTTTTTTAAATCATAAATAATTTCCTGTATAAAATATGCTAACTTGTAAGCAAAATTATAACCAAATAGGGCAAGCTAATCATCAGGCTGCAAGGATCAGTTCTTACGGACTTGACAATGGACCTGTGTTATACACTAACAAATTATTTAATAAAAACAATCAAGGTGACTAATCTAAGATTTCTTTAAGTGCAACACTGAGTAAATTGGAACCTGACTCAATTGGTAACACAATAAAAGGAGGACCTGTTTGGGACAAGATTTTGTTCTCAGTCTGTCCTTATTAAGGGCCTGTTGCAAGAACCTAAGTATGCTAAACTCCTGTTGATTTCAATGGGAGCTGAGTGTGCTCACCAACAAACAGGTATGCACCCCTCCCCCACATCTCTAATGCATTGCCCTAAAGCATCTGGGCAATTCCAAGTAAGTCTGCTAGTAAAAAATAAATATAAAGCTCATTCACCACACAAATAACAACCATTAAGAAAACTTGGTGTGGTACAATCTATATCTTGCAGCTATCACTGGAGCAATGGTATTTCCAACTTCAATTTTTGTATTCAGGGAACAAATCCTTTTGAGCTACTGGTCCATAAATTTGGAACTCAGTCCAAAATGAGTTTACATAGCCACAAGTCTCAGCACCTTTTCAGCAAAATAGAAAACCCATTTGTCTGACCTCCCCTTCCCACACTAAAAACAAACACAACAAAGTCCAATTCATATTGATTGGAAGGAAAAGAGCAAAATATAATTTGTGCAAATGTCAATTTTGGGATGTGCTCACCTAACCATAGTGATAGTGCAACATAAGTACTTAAATGTATTTGATGTCAACAATGGCATATGGCATACCAGTTTTATAAAGCCAATATATTCAATTTTCACATACCAAATAGTTCATAATTTTACATTTACTCATATGTGGAAACCCATGACAACTTCTACCACATGCTATGAGGCTGAACCAAATACTGAATTAAGTAAAATAATGCAAAGAGCATCTTACATTTTCTCTTTCATCACATTCTCCCTGATATCTAGCCCAGCTAGCACCTCAATGCATTTGCAGAATTTCAGCATCCAGAGTAGTGTACAGTCAGCACATCCCAAGTCTGCAACCTATAAAGTAGATTTGAAAATGGCATCTTAAATCCCCATAACTTAAATTATTTGTGAGACTTCCAAAGCAATATATTCTGCATTGATCTTAAACAAAATCTTTTATGAAGTAGGAATTAAACACATGGCATTTTTATTAAACTTTAAAATTTATTTGTACAAGATTTATATGGTCCTGCAAGTTGTTCTACAGAGGTTGGTTTTTATAAAATCAATAGGGCGCCATACAATCTTAAGAGTTCACCCAAGTGAAACAGTTTATAGACTTTGGTCGAGCAAATATTTATATGCTCACAGGTGCTAGACTATAGGTTCTGCCACACTCCCTTTCTCAAAGCAGTAATAAAAACTGAAATACATGGATTCTGCCTTCAGCAGACCCACTATAAAGACTGTCCCAGCACCATTGTACATGCTTAACTCTAGGCAATGAGTAGCCCCAGTGATTTCACTGGGACTATTCACAATACATGAAGTTAAGAAGCTACCAATCAGATAGCTAATCGGGGCCTACCACCACTGAATTAGTAGTCTCAATCCAGTTTCTGGGGGAGAGCACCCATTTCAATCTCAAGGACTAAATGAGCATGCAAATGAAACAACATTCTCCACCCTGCAATCAAGATTGAAGCATACTGATGCTAAACTAAGTGGGAAAACCTAAACTGTTTCTGGCTACATCTGACATGTTGATAAACAGAAAACTCTAGCAAAGATAGCACAAGACTTTCCACTGGTTTTGCGAGGCTTGTTTCCAGCAGAGAAGTAAACATATAGGTAGAGGGGTTATAACTTAACTCTGTAGGAATGCAGCGGCTAAATAGCAAGCAACAGCAGCCCTTTAGTTTCAATCCCACCCCTGCAACCAGAAGAACCAGTTATATTGAGTTCAAAGCACCACTTTAAAAATTCTAGCTTGAGTTTTGTGCACAGGAGTTAGGCTTGAGGCAAAATCTTAGTTAACTCAAACTAATACTAGGGATAGTGATAGAGATGCAGCCTTGTTAGTCTGGCCTAGATGAAACAAAAGACAGAACTATGTAGCACTTTAAAGACTAACAAGATGGTTTATTAGGTGATGAGCTTTCGTGGGCCAGACCCACTTCCTCAGATCAATTTGTGGAAGAAAATTGGCACAACCATATATACCAAAGTGATACAATCAAAAAAATGAACACATATGAAATTGACAAATCAAATTTTAGAACAGAGTGGGGATGAAGGGGGAAGGTTAGTGTCTGTGAGGTAATGACATTAGGGGTGAACTCTCAGAAACTTACCCTATTATCACCCCAATGTCATTACCTCACAGACTGGGGTGCTGACACGACCACGGCCACTGCCACTCACCATACTGCTCTCTGGGGCTCCTCACCACTCAGTGCTGCTGGGCCAGCTCCGTTGGTCTCCCCCAGCAAAGACGCAGAGGTGAGGTCCCTGCCCCCACTGCAAAGTAGTACAGACACTGAACCACTTCAGGTCCAAGGACAGTGCAGTTTAGGGCCCAGCCTCCTGAGAGAGCACTCCCCAAATGGGATCAAACCCCAAAGAATTAGGTAAGCCCCCTTTAACAATGAAAGGATGAAAGGGGGGGATGTGCACACTGGTTTCCCCCCCCTCCCCTTCCCCTGGTAACAATTATTTACACTGTGTTTGACAGAAAATAAAAATTATTTTATTCAGTAGAAGCAGTAGGATCTAAGTGATAATAAGTGAGAACAGGCAGAGCAAAGTAAGTTACAAATCAAAAGAAACAAAAACGCTTGGCTAATTCTACACTGAAACCTCAGTACAAACTCTTCAAACTCACCCTAACACCTCTTTTCCAGCTGCCCCTCCAAACCAGGGCTCTCTTCCCCACCCTGGGGCCTCAGGCTCCTTCCTTCAGGTGCAGCCCAGTCAAAAGACCAAGGAAGGCCTCTGCTTTTCTGTTGTTAAAGAATTGAGGCCACTCTCTACTAACCACTGCTCAGACTGAAGGACAAAAGAGATAGTTTAACAGTTGAGAGTAACACACACTATGTGTCTCATTCACACATTTGAAATCCACAAAGTATTCCCCACTCCTTGGCTATGTCTACACTGGCACAATCTTGCGCAGAGATATGCAAATGAGGCTAAGCATGGAATATTGCCAAGCCTCATTTGCATATCTAATGAGCTGCCGTTTTGCAGAAGAGGCTCTTGCACCAGAAGGAGCTGTCTACACTGTCCCTTCTTACGCAAGAAAAATCCTCTTGCGCAATGCCATTATTCCTGAAAATAATCAGTGTAGTGGCATTGCGCAACAGGGTTTTTCTTGCGCAAGAAGGGGCAGTGTAGACAGCTCTTTCTGGTGCAAGAGCCTCTTCCGCAAAAATGGTGGTGCATTAGATATGCAAATGAGGCTCGGCAATATTCCACGCTTAGCCTCATTTGCATATCTCTGGCGCAAGATCACACCAGTGTAGATGTAGTCCATGTGTCTAAATTTACACCCAAAAATGATACATACATCAAAGCAAGATAAATAGAACCACCAGATCATGACATTAAGATTGATGGGTTACATGAAATCATTCGCTCAAACCACCTTTGAGTTATTTATATTCATGTCCATAAGTCCATTTCAAAAAGCATGGGGGGGGGGTCCCGTCACACATGACATCTAACATCCCTAGCTAATACTGCAGTAAAGACAAACCCTCAGGGAAAGGAGCTGGGATGAGGGCTTTCAAAGAGGTTTTTTTTTTAAATATTTTTTCCCCTCAAAAGAAAATAATAAAATATTCCAAAAAAGTCCACTCGCAAACAAGAGGAAAATGTATTTTTATTGCATTTTTTTTAGCCTAAGTATTTTTTCCTCCGTTAAATAGTTATATGAGCCTAGAAAAAGCCAAACATGGCTATCAGCATAATATGCCAGAATCATGGATAGCTTTAACAAAACTCTGCAAAGAGCTGATTCTTGGCATTGAAATAGTCAGGCAACACTGGTATTTCCTTTTCCCAGATATACTATGCCAGCATTTACTGTATCTTTTTAAAGTTAAGCTCTGAAAAAAAAAAAAAAACCATACCAACCTTCTTAGGCTTGTATTTCATCACTAAATCCTTAATAAACTGGTAACGTTGTTTGTAGAGAGGAGGTATAAACTTAATTGTTCTGGTAAAATCATCCTTTTGAAGATTCCTATCCATCATGTCAGCACTAAAAAATTAAAATTAGTTATTTTTCTGAAATATTTTACAACCGATTCTGTCAATGTATTATTCTCTGCAGTACTCAATTCATAAGTAAACAAATATAAATGTGATATTGTTTTCATATTAAGCCAATGTCTAAATTCTTACTGATATCAGTGGAAACAAAATGAGGTTATATGCCCTTTTTACCATATTTTACAATAACACCCTTTCCACCGTCATAATGAAAATCAACCATATCCCAACAACTTGTCTTTGTCCATCCAAATGAGATGGGGAGAGGTGTCATGCAAAATCCACTATAATGTGTCTGGCTAATTTTTCAAACAATTGCAAAAAAATTAAGCATTTCCTACCCAAAAGGTTTTTATTTTTTTCCTATTTCCTCTGCTTTGTTTTACATTCACTATTCATGTAACTGAGGTGCTGTCTGTGTATTTGTTTAGCTTGATACACTTTATGTAAAGTGACAAATAGGAAACTTTTTCAGCAGTTCAGTCACTCCTTTACTTTAGAGTTATTAAAAACCAGAGGCATATAATTAGTGTGTGCAGTGAAGTTTTACATTATATTGCTAATAAAATGCAAATGTCTCACTGGAACTATCATCACCACACTTCCAATCGCTGCATTTTCTCCCATTAGGTAAGTTACGTCTTCATACAAATAAATGTTTGAAAAGAAATATCCTGCTAAATCTATAAACAGAATGTTGTCAGCAGTAATCAGGTAAAATAGGTAGTGCAAAGTCTTTTGAATAGATGTCTTCCTCGTCCATGCTCATAGTTTGCACCTGTGGGAAACACCTCCCTCGCGGGTCTAATTTAAAAGACTTGCTATCACATTTTTGTGACGAGGTTACTGACAGTTGTGCCTTCAAGTCTCCCTCGTCTTTGAAAGGAACGTGGTTTCGGGAATCCCTCCCAACCCACACAAGCAATGGAGGGAAACAGCCGCTCGCTGGGAGTTCTCAGCCTCCACTCAGCGCTCAGGCTGGGCCCCTCTGCACGTTGCAGCCACAGCAAGTAAAATGCAGACCTGGGTTTCTAGTCTCACCAACTCCTGAATATAGACATGAAACGCGTGTCACGTGGCTGCAGCCCTCAGGCTGCGCCCACAACACCCCCAAATACTAGGAACCGCCCACACGCCACTCTACAGCTCCGGCGCCTTCGGGCCCTTCAGCCAGGGTGACCCAGACTCGTCCCACGCCGACCGCTATCGCGCCCAAACCCTAGGGCTCTGCACGCTGCCCCAGGCCCGGCCCCACCCCACTGGCCGCCCTGGCGGGGCGAGGTGCACCACAGGCCCCTACCGCGGGAAGGTGGAGGCAGAGTGGGAGGGGCCCCAGCGGCGCCCGACACGCGAGAACGGTTAGGAAGTGATAGCGCGCGCCGCGCCCCTGCGAATCCACAGAACAGTCGGGCCCCGCCCCAGTCGCGTCCCCCGCCATGGCCGCCCCGCTATAATCCCGCCTGCACTTCTCCCCCCAGCGCACCTTCTGCATCCCCAGAGCCTCTTCGTCTGCCCCAACCTTCAGTACTGCTCCTCTCCTCCTCCTCCTCCGCTCGCTAGCTCCCCTACCCCCAACCAAAGCCTCTGTCTGGCTTTCTGTCCTAGCCTTACCCTCTGGTAGGGATTGTTTTCCCCTTTGGGGGAAGAGGGAAAAGAACTGAGCAGTTCTACTGCAGGGAGGATCAGTAATGCTCAGGGAGTGAACTGCTGTCACTTTTCCCCCTCATGCATCCCCATTCTTAAAAGATTCTGGACTTGTAAGGGCTCGTGCCATGCATAGGATTTATTTGGCAATGGAAGAATGAGTTCTCAAATCCAAGTCACCATTCAGCAGCTGATGAACTCTTAAAAGATTAGCTCTATTATTCAGCCAAAGCCAATGTGACTAAACTTCTCTCTGTTACAGCCAGTTCTTAAGTTCAGTAAAGACCCCTTATATGGCCACAATATTTTACTTCAGAATTAATGGGGAAAGAGCAGGAATTCACTTATCACATAAACATAGCTGAGCTGGTTTTGCTCATACCTTTTTTTCACTAATACCCATCTTTCAGAATAGAACTGTAGCAGGTGAGGTCCGTCCTTGACCGAGCAAAGTCATTTTGCATAGATTACACTTATATAAAAGTTCAAGAAATTAAATATATGTAATAGAATTTTTTATTAATGTACTTGCAAAAGGGAGGTAAAAGAACAGTTTTAAATTTGTAGGATTTTAACTTCAAACATTCATTTTATTGAATAATTACCATACATGGTAAATTTGAATCAGAAACTCATAAAGCTCCCATTACTCTTTCTGTAATTAATTTGAATTATTTTGTAATTTGTAACAGTAAACATTTTCTTTTATTAAAATGCCAGTTGAATTGGTGACTCGATTTTAATTTTGTTAGCAAATATTTTTATGAACTCTAATCATAATCTTAATCCTTTCACCCCATATATTCTGGTGTAAAAAATAGTGTATTTAGCTAATTTAAATGGCAGGATATGCAAAATTTGGTATCTGTAGGTAATCATGAATATGACTTTATTTTGCACAAGCAAACCCACAAACAAATTCTTCAAAAATGTATACAGGCAGTCCCCGGGTTACGTACAAGATAGGGACTGTAGGTTTGTTCTTAAGTTGAATCTGTATGTAAGTCGGAACTGGCATCCAGATTCAGCCGCTGCTGAAACTGATCAGTTTCAACAGCGGC